GGGGGTAAGGGGAAAGAGAGATATGAGGGGTGGGGCGGGGGTGGTAAGAGTGCGTTCGATTGTGTTATGACTAATTAATTAACAAGAGTATGAGATGACTCGTTTATATATCTAGTGTGTCTAAAATTACATATACGAATGTATTCGATTGTGTTGCGAGAAATTAACAAGAGTATGAGATGACTCGTTTATATATCCATATCTAGTGTGTCTAAAATTATTTATAGCTTTTGTAGAAAAGGAGAAATAACTTTTCTATCAAACTCCGGAAATAATATATATTAGGAGCCTTTTTACTGAGTTCAAAATATATCAGATTTGTTATCTTTTGATATTAGATCTCTTTTGTGAGTACTTGATGAAGCCTAAACATGATCAAATTTGATATTTTCTGATACTTCAGCCTTCCCAAATAAAACATATTAATATCTTTCAAATTCAAGATCAGAGATATAAATTTGGGGATTTTGATATTACAACAACAACAACAATAAATACGGAGTAATAGTAATTATAATAATAATTACTATTATCATTATTTTGTATTCCCTACGTTTCACAAAACACTTCCACCGTAGTTTTTTGCGCACCTCGTAAAATACTTGTACTTCACCTAAAATACCATCAAAATAACTTCAGCCCGCAATAAACTACGAAATGGGAATGCATTTTAGACATTTTAAATTAGAAGTGTTTTGAGAAATGCACACAAAATTAATGCGGAACTGTTTTATGAAACGGGAATAGACCTTTTGAATTTTGATATGATTTTTTAATTTATGAATTTTATTACCTCTAATTTAAGTCGGCCCTAATATATCCATTTGCAAAAAGTTAATCCAATTCAATGAGACATAATTCAGCCAAGCCAAACAGAAATGACACCTACAAGCAAGCATTATAATCTAATGATATTCCACCAAGCTCTTAAAAAGATAAAAAGACAAAAAAAAAACAAAAAAAGGAAAATTAAGAAAAATTAAAATTAACCAAACTGGTGCTTAGCGCATGCCAGCTAAGAGAGCCCCACCCTTACACATGCAAATTATAGTCAATCAGTCCCTAGCTATTATTAATACCGAGTAAATTAATTAATTAATACGGAGTAATGCACTATCTCCACTACAATACATTCGGATTTTTGTATTATGCACCATTCTAAAACAAAAGTATTATGGACGGTTTGTTTCAGCTTCTTAATGGTTCAGATGTTTGAATGGTTCAACACTTAATGCTTCAGACTGTTTATTTCAGTCTCTTAATGGTTCAGATGTCTGAATGGTTAAGAGATTTGCCTCTGAATAGTTAAGTATTATACAGAGTCTGAATGGTTAAGACCTCTTATCTGAATTGATCAGACATTTGCCTTTGAATAGTTAAGCAATATACTAGCTTTTAATGGTTCAGACCTCTTACTGGTTCAACAATTAATGGTTCAGACCTCTTACTAGTTCAGCACTTACCTATTCAGAAGTTGCCAAACAACCCCTAAGATCATGTTTGTCATCAGTGTTAAAGGTTAGCGTTTTGAAAAGACTATTTAACGGTAATTCTTAGCGTTCGCTTTTTTAGAATTAACTTAAATTTTATTCAAAATGTTAACGCTTATCGAAAATACTCTTACCAAAGAAGGCCTTAATCCATATCCATTAATATAAATTTGATATTAGAATAAATTTAAGAGATTTATGAGAATATACTCCCCCCGTCCACAAATAAACTTCGCGTTCACTATTCACATGGTCAATTTTTAATTACTTTCTTGGCCTATTTTCGTCACCCATTTGATAAAATAATATAGGCATGTCATCTCTAGTTTTGTAGATCTTTTGATATAATTTTTTAATATGTAATTTTTATTTTTAAACTTTACACCATTTTTCATATAAAATGATTTGAAAATAACTTCAGTCAAGCATCGTAACACGCAACGGAAAATTTATTTGTGGACGGAGGTAGTATATGTTTTTAGGTAGATTTAATTGGGGGAAGGTTCCCATGACATTGGGAACCAATGTCATGGGATGACCCGAGGGCGCTCCGGTATCCCGTTTGTAAAATTGACGGTTCCTACCCCTCCTAACCCCACGATAACCCCACACTTCGCCCCGACTCGAACACACCCCCCACCTCCTTCAATTACACCTCACAAGTCAATTTTGACTTTGGAGTCAAATTTGACTCCAAAATCAAAATCGACTTGAAGGGGATGAGGATGTGTTCGGGTCCGGGAGGGGTGATGGATTACTGGAAGATTTTGGAGGGATAGGAACAGTGAATTGAAGAGATACGGGAGCTCCCGGGTCATAATGTCACTGGAACAAAACAAGGGGATTTAATTGGAGTTCTCCCCAATTTCAAATACGGTAATATACGGAGTATAATATTGGAAGTGGTAATAATACCACGCCTGTTTACAGGAAGAAGAAGAAGAAACAGTTGTTGAGCTTTCTCTTCGTTGAATTGCTCAAATGTAGCAGTTGTTTGGATCCTCATTCACACTTCGATTCAGTTGAATCTATGTCACCTATACATACGAATACCTGCGTATGTATACTGGTTGATTTCAGACAGATACCGTTGGATTGCGCATCTGTGTTCTGATGGCGGCGAATTACAGCACATCCCGGAGTCCGGGAAGCTCGAAGTTTCAGTTGGGCGGAGGAAGTGTGAGTCTCGCGTCGAGATTGAGATCCTCGTCTTCGAAGAAGCCGCCGGAGCCGCTGCGCCGAGCTGTGGCGGATTGTCTATCGGCTTCGGCTCCCACCGCGCACCATGGAACGTCGTCGGCCTCTTCTGAATCGTCTCGGACTCTCCGGGTTAGAATGGGCACCGTTCTGTTACCTGAATTTTAATTTTTGATTTTGGGGGGGGGGGGGGGGTTGGCCTTCGGGAATTGTTGCTTGTTGGGGTATTTTTTTGAGTTTCATTATGTGAGATCTGGTCCTAATTTAGCTTTGAAGGTAATTTTTTGGCTAGTAGAGCTGTAATTCCTGATTATTTAGGTTTGCCATATGATTTGAAAAGGTGGTTTTGGGGGATTGTTTTAAAGCTGAGCCTGTAATAGTAGTGAAAACTGAAATACACTAATTGCTCTGTCTAGAGATTGCTCATTTCATAAGCTTTTTAGAATGTTCTGATTTTCACCTTCTGCTCATTTCATAAGGATACTGGAGTAGAAAAACAAGAGAGAAATAATAGATGAAAACAAATGCTTTGAAGAACACTCTTTTCTCCTTGATTTGTTAGGTTATTACTACAAAATTGGAATACTTGCACTCTTTGTTGTCTTTAGTTTTACCATCTACTTACTTATTAATGAGCACACACATACGTACCCGCACATGGTAAAGGCTGCAATTCCGGTTTGGAAAGGTAGCGTGCTGACTGTCTTAATGAAGTTGTACTCCTCTAACGCACCTCTACCCAAGCATAGATAGAAGCACAAAGTAAAAAAGCATGTGGCACCAAGCTGATTTGGCCTTATAGACGTACTCTGTGTGTGTGTGTGTAATATTTCCTTAATTAGAGACTATAATAAAATATCCCATTTAATCGAGTGTTTTTTTTCATTTTCCTGTGAGCTTCAGATTGTTATCTTTTTCTTTCCATGTCTTAAATCATGGAAGTTGTTAAATTATCTTTTAGGCAGCATCTCTTCATTATTTTTTGAAGTTACAAGCTGAAATGCAGAAACAGTAGTCCGTGAGGCTGTGTGTGATGTGCTCATCTCACAAAATTTATTAAGCATAATGTGTTTTTCAGTTTTCAAACGCCAAGTGTGAATTCCACATAATGTGTTTACTTCATGCACTATTTCCAAGGGTCTTAAAATTGAACCATTTAACTTTGAGACTCTGTGGGAAGAGGTTTATGGTTTAGCCATTCTCTCAACCACATACCAAAACAGTGATATCCGATGGACTAAAATTTTAAAAATCAACTGAAACATCGATTTTGAACTGTCCATTTGTAACCATTAGAGTATATTTAGGATGAAGCTCATGCATACTATTAGAATTTGGCCATGCTAAAAGGATCATTTCATGCATACTATTAGAATTTGACCATACTAGAAGGATCGTATCATAGTTGGCTTATAGGCTCCTCATGAAATTGTAAAAATCACTTTCTGACTTAATTCAAGGCATAGGCATTTAATTGTTTTAGGTTGTTCTTGTAATTGGATTGCACTGCGATGTTTTAAATAAACTTTACATTGTTGTTTATAGAAAAAGCCATCCAAGGCAAAATAGAATGCTTCTTCAATGGGCACTTGAGGCTTGGATTATGGTGTAACAAAGAAGAAAACTTTAATGATAAATGATGTGTATCTACTCTTTGCCAGGATTACTTGGCATCACATCTCACAACTGACTTGGCTTATGGTGTAATTTTAGATCATACTCTAGCAGAACGAGAACGCAGGTATGGTCTAGTCATTTATATGCTTTAAATATTCTTAATATTGTGGAAGCATGTAGTTTTGTATGTTTCCAACTTCATTAATATGAAATCATATGAAGGCTGCAGCTTGGATATAGTTTTCTAATTTACGTATTCTATTTACTTTGTTTGTTCGAGATCCCAAGTTATGGATCTATTTTTTCTAGGCTTATTAGTTAATACTCTTATGCAATCCCTCCCCCCCCCCATGACTCAAAAGATATGGGGGCAGTTGTTCTCAGCACTGGTTTTAATGAAAACAATTATAGTACTTTGGGTATTGTTTTCTTTCAAAAATCAAAATTGCCCTCAAACGATTCTCGTAGTGTTAAATTATTGCACGTGCATATGAAAGCTTTTTATTGTCATAAATTCCTTTCTCCTCTGATAATGTCTTCTTTTTTTCCCTTTAACCAGCCCTGCAGTGGTAGCAAAATCTGTGGCACTTTTGAAACGGTATCTTTTAAGGTATATTCTTCCTATTATCATGCTTCTTTTCATCTGGAGTATATTAAGTTATCATTATGCCATTATGTACTCCCTTTTTTGGTCGTCCCCTATAAACTTCACTTTTCCTTTTAAGGAAATAAAGGGGTGGTTGATGCATTTTCTTTAATTTATTAGTAATCATCAACCACACAATTCCTTAAAAGATCTTCATGTTTCCCTTTTTGGTCATCCCCTATATCACTTTTGCTTTTAAGGAAATAAAGTTGTGGTTGATACTTCTCCAATTTATACGTAATTCTTAGCCACACATTTCCACTTTCTTGTTCTCTTGCACAGAGCCACAGAAAGCAAATGCAAAGTTCTTTTAGGGATGGAGGGAGTGTTAAAATCTTTTACCTCTATAAAGAGTTGGAAATATATCAATTGATATGTAACTTATGTTCACAATGCATCACATTTGACCAGAGTACAGTACTTTATCAATTTTTTTCTATTATATACTTATAGAACTTATATATTTTTCAATTGATAAAGAACTCTGTTCAGAAGGAAACTTTGGAACTCAAACTTTACAACCATTAAGGGTCTGCTCAGTAGAGTTGAATAAAACTCAACCAAACTTGATGGGACTGAATTGAATGATACTGAACTGAACTGGCTGTAGTGTAATTTTGAACTAACCAGTAGTGGAATATATTAGAAAGATCATATAATTAAATATGTCTTGCTTTATTCAATTATTCAAGATGGCTTTCCTAGAACTATTATCCGGCCAAATAGCGCCAGTACCCCCCGTGCTTTGCAAAATAGGCACCAAAACCCCCTCTGTTTTCAAAACTTATTTCTAAAGTCCTTGTGGTTTCAAAATGTTGCACCCGTGCCCCCTATGATCATTTTCCGGCCATTTTTCCGGCGAAGAAGGCGGGCATTGCTGCATATTTACTAAACCACAGGGGGTATCGGTGCTGATATTTATTTCTCGCTTATTTTTTTTGTTTTTTACCATTTTTTCCTTTATGTGTTACTTTTATTAATAAAGGTTTTTTTAAATTATGTTTATAATGCTCATAAAATTTAAAGTTATTTTTGTTTGAAATATTAACATATAATGCATATGTACTTCTCAAATCAACAATTTTTATTTTTTCTGAAAAAAGTAAACTTTTTTTGAAGAATTTCAAAAAAAATGACGAATATAATAAGAAACAAAATAATAGAAAAATAAAAATGAATATCTTTTTCGAACATCTCAATTCTAAGGACTTTTTTAGGCCACCTTGGTTCCCATGACATTGGGCTTGTCCATTTATTGTATCAGACTTTTTTTGTGTATTTTTATTTTTCATTTTATTTTTCCATATTTTTATTTTTTTATTCTAGGTTTTTCTTTTTGAACTTTCCAAATAAGTACATAACAAAAAGTGAAAATGTTTAATTTCAAATAGATGCAATGTATGTTAATTTTTTTATTTTTATTTTTATTTCAAAAAAAAATTAAAATTTTAAAACATTATAAAAAATTCAAAATAAATTAGAAAAAAAACTAGGAAAAGAAAAAAGAGATAGAAAATATTTAAAAAAAGAAAAATACAAATAATAAACGAAAAATAAAAAATGAGCACGAATACCCCCTATGGTTTGAAAATTATGCGCAAATGCCCCCTCTTTGCCGGAAAATGGCCGGAAAACGATCAGAGGGGGCACGGGTGCAGCATTTTGAAACCACGGGGACTTTAAAAATAAGTTTTGAAAATAGAGGGGGTATTGGTGCCAATTTTCCAAACCACAGGGGGCACCGGAGCTATTTGGCCACTATTATCCCAGTACATATTTAACAATCTAGAGCTTTCACTATTGTGGCTATGTAGTTTCTTTTGTTTACTGCAGGTATAAACCAAGTGAAGATACACTACTACAGATTGATCGGTTCTGCTTAAGCATAATTGCGGAATGCGATATGACTGCAAACCGGAAACTGGCACCATTATCACGTTCTTTACGCCAACAAAATGCTGCATCACTAGCATCTATTACTGTATCTCCTTTACCCGTGTCAAGTTTTGCATCAGCTGCCCTTGTAAAGTCCTTACATTATGTCCGCTCTCTGGTGGCTCAACATATTCCAAAGCGGTCATTTCAACCAGCAGCTTTCGCTGGGGCTCCTTTTGCATCAAGGCAAGCACTCCCATCATTGTCATCTTTATTGAGAAGATCATTCACTTCCCAGCTAAACCCTTCAAATGTCAAAGAGTCTCCAAAAAATAAAGAGATTTCTACGGTATCTGCTTTTTCACCAATTCTTGAAGAAGTTGATACCCTGGAAGATCGGGATTTTATGCCAGGTGATGTTTTTAAGTGGCGCTGGTCCAGAGAACAACAGCAATCACTATCTTTGCCTAAGAGGTAGTTATTTTGTCTGCTAGTGCAGAAGTGCCACCAGTTCTAAAGTTTTGATTGCTCACATATTTTGACATTTTATGATTATTGAAACCTGAAATTTCAGCGATCAAGTTTTGAATCCCAAAGATGTCTGTGCACATAACTTCCTAGAAGTGGGTGCTGCAGCTCTTCTTGTAGGGGACATGGAAGCCAAAATGAAAGGTGAACCTTGGAGAGCATTTGGCAGCAATGAAATGCCTTACTTAGATCAACTATTGCAGCCGTCTTTGCTTCCGACTGTCACAAATTCTGCCTCTGCTCGTGCACACTTAAGAGCAATAACAGCACTAAAACGTTCTAAAGCAGGGCCTAATCAGATATGGTAAATTCCTGCCTGATTACTGAAATTATACAATTTTTTTCACCTCATAATAATTTTGAACTTTGAAATGTTTGCACCAGATTTATATACTCCCTCCGTCCTATAATGATCTTCCCAGAGCACTATTCCAACTTCACGGGAATTTATATTTATTTGTGTTTTTTCATGGCCTATATGATAAAATAAAATATTCTTGTCACCACTTGTTTTGTTGAACTTTTGATGTAGTTTTTAAATATGTATGTTTTATTTTTTATTTCTATACCAATATTTAAATAAAATAGATTGAAAAAACATGGGATTTTTCTTCGTTTTGCGAACCGGGAAGATCATTATAGGACGGAGGGAGTATATTTTATTTTGCCCTCCAATTTCTGCAAATTTGGTCTCAAATAAAATCAGGCAAAATTTACATATTTTTACTATTCTACGTATATAGGGAGGATTCTCCAGTGAGCACCTTCCGTCCTCGTACAAAGCCACTTTTTCAGTATCGGCACTACAGGTATCCAATACTAGTAAGACATTACCCATACGACCATACAGCTCCTGCAAACAACGTGCTACCTGTACTGCCTTTGTTACAAGAGGGATCTGTTGGGGTTTGTTTCTCTAACAGTTTTTTGGGTCATTTTCTAAGCCGGAGGTCTTGTGTAAATAGCTTCTTTACCGTGTTGGGTAGGGGTGACATGACGTCTCTGTACATCTACCCTCCCCAGACCCCACTTGTGGGTTTATTGGGTTGTTGGGGCAACAAACTTTCAAGCATGTTTACCTATTATAGCTCTAACTTGAAAAAGCTTTGTCAGATTGGAACACATTCCATCCATCTACAGACTACAATTTACCCTGATTTTTTCCCTAAAAATTTTAGGGAGTTAGTTCCTGACTATCTACCTATGAATCTTAAAAATGATTTTAATTCAATTTACAACTGATTGAGATCTTTTGGAAACAGCATCTGTATGTTTCATAGGTAGGGGTAATGTTTACATAAACCTATCCCAAGACCCCACTGGTGGGGATTTATTGGGTATGTTGTTGTTCTTGTTGAAGTTTACGCCTGATTGTATAATCCTATAATGTATACCTCACCATACCACCCTAAGCAAGTGTACCTATTGATGAATCATGAATTAAATGAGCTCTCTCTGTAAATGGGAAAATTTCTGGCTTGATTGTCATATTTTTTGCAAATCTATCTCCTTTCCTTACTGCCGCTCACATGGATTTTTTTCTGTTAGTGAACAACAACCTTTGCGATTAAACCCCACAGAAGTCTGTGAAGTTATTGCTGCTGTTTGCTCAGAGACTCCTGCTCCAAATGCTTATTTCATGACGCTCTCATCTAAAATGAATAACAGTGGAAAGCCATCTATAGATGTAGCTGCGAGTGTTCTTGTTAAACTTGTAATTGACATGTAAGTGCTGCTGTTTTAGTTGTGCTTAGATCCAGTTTTTCATTAAAGGCATGCTATTTTACAACTCTATTGTTTTCTCCCTAAATGGATTATCTGTACTTGTGAAATACCTGGTGATTGTATGATTAGTTTGTTAAAGGACCACCCAAACTATTTATTCAAAGGCTGAACTTTTTTTGGCAAAGCGGTTTGGATTAAAAAGCAGGCATTCACTCTACTTAAAATTCAGTGTGCTGTTTAATATTTCCTTAAGGTCACAGTCTATGCAAAGACCAAAACATAATGCGAGTCTTACGAGTCTAACAAACACATAATGTGATCTCGTGAGACTTAAGATGCTAGTAAGAAACGTTTGGCAGCACCAAACTTTATGCTCTTATTAAATGGTCTGATAGCTTTTTATTGCATCTTTGAATGCGAAAACATTTAGTGGTAATGATTAATCTATTTTGTTATAATGTTAAGGTAATCATTGCTTATATTTTGTAGGTATGTTTTAGATTCCAAGCTTGCTGCTCCTCTTACTCTATCAATGCTTGAGGTGGGGCTTTAGCCTACTCTTTGTTTTGCCCTTTTAACACCCTCCTGCAATAAATTCTGATATGTGTTTCTTTCTTTCTTTTATCTCAAACTGAAGGAAATGATAAATGCTCCTCAGCCAGGCTCAAAAGATAGGGCATTTGATTTAATTCTTAATCTTGGAATCCACGCCCACTTATTGGAGCCTCCAGCAGCAGACGAGGCTTCCTCAATTGCAGAAGAATATTCTGAAGAAGCATATTTTGACTGCGAAACTCAATTTTCACCAGATAGGAAAAAGCCATTAGGAAATAACTCGGCTATTGATAAATTTGAATGTTGGATATTAGGCATTCTTTATGAGGTTCTTCTTCATCTTGTCCAGGTAGTTTGAGTATCCATACCCATAAGGGAATTTTAGCTACACATTCGATTTGCATGTTGATTTTGCTTTATCATTCTTGTGGGAGTATCTTGTGGTGACGATGATGGGGTTTTAGCAATTTTTTCTCATTAATCATTCGTAAGAAGGTTGTGAGAGGAAGGGAATTTGATGTAAACACTTTCCACTGATTTTGTATAAATATATAATATTAACTATTTTGATGATGAAAGGCTACAAGTGTCACTTGCTTTCTGAGTTGAAACTTGAAAGATTTTCTAGTATTTGCTTTTGCAGACGAACCACACTATTTTTGGTGTGCTTGCTACTACAATTTTCATCAATGTGCTTAAGAGGTCTTTCCTAGAGTTTTACATTTTGTTATATATTCATATACTTTGTCTATAAATTGCCTTTTAGAGGTATCTAAACAGATTCATTTGCTTTTGAGATTTTCTTTGATCATATCTTGAGGTTCCTTTTGTACTTTTTTCTTTCTAGAAGTAATGCCACATTTGATTTGTATTAGTTGTCTTTAATGGGACAAACCTTTTTACCTTCCTGTGTGCAGATAGAAGAGAAAGAAGAGTCCGTATGGGCTTCTGCCCTGAGTTGTTTACTTTATTTTGTATGTGATAAAGGCAGAATTCGAAGAAGCAGACTTAGAAGCCTTGACATTAGAGTGAGCTGATCTTTACCCTTTTTTTGTCATCTCTAGTACGTGCATGGAATTGCTTATAAATGAAAAGGAAGAAAGAATTGCATGTGCTTTATCAGATCTGCTTGCTCACAAATTCTTAAACGGAAAAATGCTAATTTAATTGGGATATCTAGAGTAACTTTGACAAAAGACATAGATCGGTGTACAGAAATGAACTCCCTTTTGAAATTGAAGATTTGAACCAATCTCCCTTGAAACATCAAATCAATTTGTATATCCAAATGGTTAATAAAATGAACCATCATAATTAGCTATTAGAATTACTCCCTCCGTCCCATATATTTCTTCCTATTTCGGACAACGTACAAATTACACCGTTCAAAACTACATTAAAAGTTCTACAAAACAAGAGGTGACAAGCAATGTTCGAAATTGAAGTTCGGAGCAGAGAGAAATAATGTGAACCATTTAATGCTCTCCTTAAAAGGAATGTGAAGTTTCTTGTGGGACAAACCAAAAAGGAAGGTGGAAAGCTTATTTAGGGACACAGAGAGTACTTTACAACAATATTACCCCAATGCCTCAAAGGCTCCCGCCCATTGCAGGGTGGGGGGGGGGTCAGATGTACGCAGTCTGACCTCTTTGTTTAAAACATAGAGCGACTGTTTCCGTATGACCCATGATGAGCGTCGAAAGTTGCATTGACATAGAGAGGACTTTACTACTCTATATACCGTATATCAATTTATCTACTTTTATCTTGAACCATGCAACCTAAAGAGCATCTCCCCTTCTATTTTATGATATGTCTACTTGTATGACTGTCTCACAGGTTGTTAAGGCACTCTTACAAGTTAGCAGTAGAAATTCTTGGGCAGAAGTAGTTCATTCCAAGCTAATTGGCATGTTCACAAATATGTTCTATGAAATACCAGAGGAATCTGATAAATCTATTTCAGCTACACCTGTTTTTCTTATTCAGCAAGTTGATCTGATAGGTGGAATTGAATTCATATTTGCAGAGGTAAATGCTCTAGTCATTCTTCAAACTATATGAGCCTGTTTGGCAAGGCTAAAACTTAGCTCAAAGCTTGGAGGCTCTAAAATTATTTAATTAATAAGTTAAATTGTGTGAAAAAAGTATTTTAAAATATATAAATAATTCTCTTGGCCCAAAAGAAATGTTGTTTTTACAGTGGCTTGTAGGAATGTCTATATAGTCTAAGAGGTTAAATTAAACACTTTTTTTCTTTTCTTTTCTTGTAGATGGTTGTAAAGTATTTATATATATGCAAAGCTAGAGTAATCTAGTTAGAACAGAAGTTGACATGAACACTGTCAGAGTTTAGAAGGTTCTTTTATTATTCCTTGTAAGAAGGTTGCAGCATGAAGGGCATCTGGCAAACAACTTTTCCCCTGTTTTTGTGCATTAACTTATACGGAGTATCATTTACAAAATTAATTGACTCTAAAATTCATACTACCAAGTATCAACCCTAACCAGTCAGGAACTTGAGATTATCGTGCTGGTAAAGTATTATGATACATACCTTATGCTTTCAGGTAGAAAGGAGCTGCTATTGCATTGTTAACTAATATCTCTGGGCTAACTTGACACTCTTCCAGATCCATTGCATTATTGATATAATATTTCTCAGGAATCTCAGCTTAAATTTTACAATCCTCCTGCTCTTATAAAATGAATTTGAATTTTTTAACGTCTAGATGTTTATTTGATGGGGAGTGAGTAGTAGCTTCCTCTAGGAGGGTTCTAGTGTATGCCTTGCCCTGTTTTATAATTTTATAAAGTTCTTGATGTGAATATTTATACATATCACACTTACATCTTTCGAGTAGGGGTTAGGTCTGCATACCCTACTTTCGTGGGATTCAACTGGGTTGTTGTTGTTGTTGTTGTACACTTACATCTTTCTGGTTTATAAGTGCAGTTAATGCTGTCAAACTCTAGGGAAGAGAGGAGGAATCTTTACCTAGTTCTCTTTGATTATGTTGTGCATCAAATCAACGAAACATGCATGATGGCTGGAATTTCTGAATATAGTGATAATGAAGTTCAACCTATTGCAACACTGCTTATGCTTGCAGATGCACCAGAAGCTTTACACATTTCCATCAAACTTGGGGTGGAGGGTATTTTGGAGCTTTTGCAAAGATCCATATTTACACCACTGTCCAAATGTTCTGGTAGTGATCGGCTTATTACGGTAATACTCCCATTTGTGTTTTATCTGCTTTGCATCTGACTTGGTTGGTGATTATCTCATAACAAAAGGATTCTGGAACACAGATATGCTTGCACAACTAAATAACTTGAAATAATGAATTCATGTTTGTAAAACAAAAAAAATAGATAGCAGTTTCTTTTTTCTGATATTAAAATAAGGCCACGCTGGTGGCTATGGCCACCACCCGCCATGGCACTCAAGGAACAATATAGAACCAGAAAGAATGTGTATATTAATGTGAAAAAGAAGAAGAAAGATATATGTA